CCTTCCCTATTGTTCCTTTGTCAGTTGTCACATTCCATAGAAATGATCTCTTTCCTCCTCTCATTGAATAATTCATTCATTAAATCTGTGTTGAGTGGTGTAAACTCAGCAGGGAATGTGATAGACAAAAACTCCCTTGCCTTCAGGGAATTTTACTTTCTCTTAGGGAGAAAATAAAGAAAAGAAGTAAGTAAAATGAAGTCAGAGCTGAGTGTGGTGGTGCATGCCTATAATCCCAGCACCCAGGAGGCTGAGAAGGGAGGGTCACAAGTTCAAACTCAGCTTGGGAAACTTTACAATTTAGCAAGATTTTGTCCCAAACTAAAAGATAAAAGAGCAGGCATGCAGCTCAGTGCTAAGGCTCTGGGTTAAAAAAATAATATCTTAGCTCAGTGGTACCATGCCTGCCTTGCAGGGGCAAGGTCCTGAGTTCAATCCCCGATACCAAAATAATGTAGTGTAACAACTATTTTCACAGCATTTACAGTGTATATTACATATGATCAGTAATCTAAAGATGATTTAAAGTCTATAGAACAATATGCATGGGTTATACATAAGCATGATGACATTTTATATAAAGGACCTGAGTGTCCCTCTTTGGCGTCTGAGGTAAATGTCCAGGACCCAATCCATTACAGATACCAAAGGACAAATGCACAGCACAGGTTAGCAATGAGTGTTGAGAAGAAAACTAAAGGAGAGGAGGCGATAAGAAGTGTTGGAGAGGAGGTTGAAGAATTTTAAACAGAGTGACTAAAAAAGGTCTCCCTAAAAAGGTGCCATTTGGAAGAAGGCCAAAGGCTGTGGGGAAAGCATTCCCAGCACATGAATGTTAAGTGTAAAGGTCCTGAGGTGGGCACATGCCTGGCACATTTGAGCACTAGAAATGAGACCAACGTGGTTGGAGCAGAATGAACAAATGAGACTGAAAGACAGGCATGAGTCAAAGAGGTAAGCAGGGATTAGAAGATGTGCATACTAAGGTGGACACTGCTGTGACTGAGATGGGAGACCATGGAAGCTGTGGGCAGAAGAGTGGCATTTCAATAGGATCCTTCTGGCTGCTGAGCAAAAAGCAGGCTGAAGGGGCTGGGGGACAAACAGGAGCACGGGCGCAACAGGCTGCTGCCCTTTCCCTCTCTCTGCTTTCTCCTTGGGCCCCTCCTTCCAACCCCTTTTCCTCATGGTGCTGCCTGACCTGCTCCAACTCCCTCCCGGGGAGGGAAGAGCTCCTGGGAGGCTGGATGCCCTGCGCTCCACAACAGGCCCCAGCTCCCCTCCCAGCCTTGCTCCCAGGTCCCTGCCACTCAGAGTCAATGCCCCAAACTCAACAAACCCCCTGGGCATTTTCAAATACATCCACACAGTGCTCCGCCCTTGCTCACTCACCTCACCTGTGAGGTTCATCTCACATCCTACCTGATTCCTCAGCTAGAGGTCCCCTACCTGCCTTCGGTCCTCCACACCCATTCATCCTCTTTTTCAGCTCCTTAATTATTTCCACTCATAAGTGTCCTGTCTCCCTCAGGAGACCCTAACCTCTCTGAAGGCGAACTGTGCCTCACCTACTGCCTAACTGCCACAGTATGGAGAATGGAACCTTCTAGAAGAATAACTTTGAAATTAGGGATGTCAACATTATCCTTTACTGAACAAAAACCTGCAATTATTTCTGTGAAATCAGTTCATCACCTCAGAGTAGCTGTTATTTATTAGGATTATAAATACATTGCCTTTAACACAGACAAAAGTCTAGCAGAGAAAAAAGCTGTTATATTGTATGCAAAATCAATAATGCTAAGCTATTAAGCTTAAAAGATTAAAAGTGGACACCAAAGATACCTTTTTTATGGTTAACTGCCACCAAAAGTTTTCTATCTAGAAAAATGCGCCATTAAATTTGGAAGGGTTTAGGGCCAGGGATTTAGCTCAGTAGTTCCAGCACCTGCCTGAAGAGCACAAGGTCCCAAATTTGATCCCCGGCATCCAAAAAGAAAAATTTGGAAGGGTTTAAAATGCCGGACCTCCAACCACAGGAAAATTGATCCACTTAAATATTTTAAGTGTTTATTTTTATTGGTAAAAATTTGATGGAATCAATGTTAATCTCTTTATATAAGGTAATGCAGACAGACTGAGAATTTGACTTTACCCATTGTGGTGTTTTAATACAGCCTTATTCCTGCATAATTTATAATAACGTAAAAGCACTGAGTCAGATTTTCCCAATGTCCGTCATTAAAGTGTGGAGGCAGAAAGTGCAAAGTACAGTGTATTTTCTTCTAGCTTTCTCAGCAAGAAAACTTCCAAAAAGGGCACCACTCTTGCTGGGAGCCACACATCTGTAGTCCCAGCTACATGGGAGCCTGAGGCAGGAAGACCGCTTGAGCCAAGAGTTTAGGGCGAGCCTAGGCAATACCAAGAGACTCTGAGTCAAGACAAAACAAACAAAAGGCACCATTCTCTATGGCCTAAATCATTTTCTTCCTGAGGAAGTATAATTCACTACCTTTCCATCTCTTCTTTAAAGGATCTAATATTGGTTTACACATTTAAAAAAAAAAAGAAAAGAGATCTTGCTCCCGTAAACAGAAGGAACAAAGAGGACCTGGTACTCAAATTCGGCCTTAACTCAAAATGAAATCTCAGCAACCATTCTTAGTGCAAGATTTTCATCATGACTCTCAGCTTCGTAATTCAAGTTATATCAAAAGCAAATACTCCCTAGAGATTTAATTTGTCTTTTTGAAAATGTGATTAAATATGAGACTGTCACTTCCTACAGGTGATATGTATTAAATGCTCCCAAGGAAATCAATGTGTACAAGATAAATAGGAGTTAATTTTAATATTGTAATTAAACATAATGCCAGTATCATCAGAATCATTCAAATCATCTTTAGCAAAAGATTTTCAGAATAAGCTCATTAAAACATTATTTCTTTCCAGTGAGATAAAATGACTCTTGAAGTTTTGGTCTAGAACCAATTAAAGAATCCAGTACCAGAGGAAGTAATAAAATGAATCTGCTGTGTGTCCTAACTGGGAGGTGAGCCATAGAGCTAGGACCAGTCATAATCAAGAATAAGATGAAAAGGAGAATTTACTAAAAACACTAGCAAGAGAATCCGAATAGAGGCTGATTTTTATAAACCAACTACCCATCCCTGAATGGATAAGACTCCTCAGATTCCTTGCTTTAAAAAAAAACATCCTGGAGCATCTAATTCAGTGTAGAAAAGACAGAGAACAATTCCTAGTAGTACAAGAAGCTACTACTACAAGTGACAGGTGTATGGGTTACATTTCCAAAACTCATTCTTAAATTCTGTGATGGCTTATCATTTTTGAACCTGCCTGCCTAAAGGTGGGTCCCCTGGGGAAACAGGCCCTGAGACAAGGATTCAAGGCCAGGTGACTCTTGGACTCCAGGAAGCGCTGGGCAATCACACAGGAAGTCAGGGCATGGAGCTCCAGTGATGCAATCGGTTAGCGCATGGTACTTATACAGGAAGTCAGGGCAGCCCAGAGACCCAGGAGTGTCCTCCAAATCATCCCACCTAAGAACTGGGGTGCTGACCAGGCATTTGGCCAAGACTTCTTTGCCTACACTGCAGTCACATCACCATGTGCGCTGTTGGCACTGGGTATCAGTCCTCTCGCCTCTTTACTTATAGTTCACATTCAGGTCATCTACTAAGCTATAAAACATGCAATTTTACCTTACCTATGCCTTTATTTCTCCCCTTGAGTCTACTTCATATTCTCAATAGATTAAGATACTACATGTATTTTTATGTTTTAAATTCTTTAACATCAACTTTACATCAATTAAGTTATAAAACAAAAGAGAACAACAATGACAAAAAAAAATGTGCACCTCTGATAGTAGCCATAATGGGCCATAACATATGCATGAAAGGCGATGGGCTGGGCCAGGGTGCTCAGCCCATGCCAGCACCCGTGGAATCCTTTGTTATTAGAGCAGAAATCATTTGTGCAGTCTAAAACTACACATTGTCACAAAATAATGCTGAGGGAGAGTGGCAGAACGCAAACTTAACTGGCAAGAAGCATTTTAAATGAAATGTTACTTCACTTCTTTTCAACAAATACAGTCTTTAAAAATGCAGTTTTTAAAGTGCAACCCTTATTATTCCTGAACTTGAAGGGACAGGTCTGTAATAGCAACTTTGGTGTGGGAGGCTGAAAGGTTCCTCTTTGGTCTTACTGTATCTCTGGTCAGAATGAGATGATAATGTCTGGGTAAATCTTACCAATCTTGTCTAATGTAATCACCAGTTAAAGTTTATGCTTTATAATTTATACCAAAACCATAATTCAGAGAATAAGGCTGAAATTAATGGGAGGGTGGCATTGGAGTTTCCTTGAATTTAAGAGGTTTATCTTCATTCAACAGATACACTGAATACTGAATAAAGAAGATCTGGTTAAGGTCAATTCAAATTGCTTAGGTATTAGATTGCCAATCTAGCTGTAATAAACTTATTACTTTTAAGAAAAATAAAAGTGAAAAATAGACCAGTCCATCGCTGAAACTGTTTGGATGCTTTTACAATGGGCTTGGAGGCCTGGCCATGTCTCACCAAGGACGGCCCTAAACAAGCACCTTCGGAAGCACTGTGGAAGGAGTCCCTTCTAGTGGTAGGCTTTACACTTATGTCAGGATCGAGCCGTACTACCTAAGCCACTGAACCCCAAAACAATCCCATCTGTTATGCAATGCATTCAGTATTTTAAAATTCAGCAGTGACATAGCTAAATATTCACACCTTTGTGATGTAAGTCAGTGCTTCTCAAATGATCTGTGAGAGGGAAAATTTTGCTTTTATTATTTCCAATCTGTCATCTACTGATACTTTTGCAAAATACAAGCCAGTAGGAGACACATGTACGTGGGGCTTCTCTCAGACCGCACTTTGAGGAACACTGACCTGAAGGAACATGCACACAGTTATTCAAGACATATACTGTACCTCTGACGTTCTTTCCAAATCCCATCGAAGAAACTTTTTTGTCCACTTGTTCACTATTGTTTGATTTCTCCTTCATGACGTCATCATCACTCACAGCATCAACAGAGAACTTTTTCTTTTTCTTTTTCTTATGTCGAGGTGGAAGCTTTTTTGGAAAAGTAAACATTGGGAATATCACAAGAAACATTGCAATGGCACAAAGGAGGAATCCACTCCACCTAAAAAATCGGGAAATGTGAATAGCATTTATGGCTTTTGCTTTGTGAATGAGAAAAAATTAGCAAAGTAGAATTTTTGTGGAAATAAAATTCCCCAGATAAAACTTTTACCTTTATCAGCTTAAAGCAGTAGAAAGTGGGATAAACTGAGAAAATAAAGTGACTCTCTTTCAGGAATGTAAATGGGTAACCCACCCAACAATTATGCTAGCATTATAAAGAATACTATAATCCTCGCAAGCACAAGGTCCTGAGTTCGATCACTGGTACCGCAAAAAAAAAAAAAAAAAATACTATAATCAAAACCCTGATTAGAATTTCACTCAAGTATTTTTAAGCAGCTATGTATTCTTTCTGCTAATATTGTTATAACTTATAATTTATGCTTGTGACAATGTGCATTTTATAATAAATTTAATAGAAAAATAACATAAGGGCCGGGGATTTGGCTTAGTGGCTCCATGCCTGCCTCACAAGTGCAAGGTCCTGAGTTTGATCCCCAGCACCAAAGAAAGAAAGAAAGAAAGAAAGAAAGAAAGAAAGAAAGAAAGAACATAAATTCGATAGCATGCTCTATAGACCAATATAGACACTTTTTTTTAGAAGAAAAACATTAACATCTGTGTCAAATGTATTTTTTCTTTGTAAATTTTGGTGCAAGGGATTGAATACAGAGCTTTGTGCTGCTAAGCACCTACTCTAGCACTGAGCTACACCAAAGGCCCCAGTCAAACTCATTTTAAATCACTGGCTGACACTTCACAGTACTCAACCTAGCAGGAGGTACCAAGACATTTTGACTTGATCTTTGCCTTCAAGAACTTACAACCTAGATGTAAGCCAGCCAAAAATATAAGAAACAATCTCCAAGAAGTATAAGAACATTATACAGTTAAAAATTAGGTCATATAGTACAAGCTATAAATGCCATAAAAGTTCAGAGAGGCCAAATTAATGTGGGTCAGGCAGCATCCTAGGGTATGCAGAACTTGAGCTATGATACACTCAGGATCCTGTGTTTAAGTTCATCTGAAGTTGCCACGTTGCAGAGAACTCATGGCGAAAACAGAGTAGAAAGCAAATCTTAGTCTTGTATTAGAGCCATGATTTATGCCCCGGGGCTTCCTGCCTACATCATTCTCCATAGAGCAATTCCTCAGTCCTCTCTAGCATTTTCTAAGCAAGCAGAGGTACCTGGTCCTACCTAATAGGGCTGCCACTTCTAACTAGGATTCTTCAACTTCAAACTCTCCTCTTGAAGCTTCAGCATTCGGAGAGATTTTGTTCTCTGTATCAACCTATTTCCATGTTGGAACCAAATGCAAGCAGCATTCTAAGCATTAATGATTAATTCAATTTAGTAAGAATACAGACCAATTGCTAGGTGAAAATTCATTTCTTGAAAATTTGTATTAGTACATGTTTGTGATACACACACATTCATCATAGGGAGTTGGTACACAAACACCGCATCTTAGTCCTTTTTATTTGCCTTCCCCTCCCATCTCCCTCTAACCTTAGATCCCCTTCCCATCTGCAAAAGATCTATCGTCTGTCTTGTATCCTGTTCTTTTTTTCTTTTTCTTTTTTTGGTACCAGGGATCGAACTCGGGACCTTGCACTTTTGAGGCAGGCGGTGGAACCACTGAGCTAAATCCCCAGCTTGTATTCTGTTCTTTAAATTATCTATACTTTGTATTTCTCGTGTAAGAGAAGCCAAGAGATTTTAACCTTCTGTCTCTGATTTATTTCGCTTAGTATTATGATCTCAAGGTGCATCCATTAATTCAATTAACTCAATCCAGTAAGAATACAGACCAACTGCTAAATGACAATTCATTTTTTTAAAAGTTTCTATTAAAGTATTGTTATCAGCTGACAAAGGTCTTGGTCTAGTTAAGTGAATGATTCCTAGAACTAGTCACTAGTAATCTAACATGTTACCTCCAAAGATAAAGGTACATCAAATAAGAATTTTAAAGCAAATCAGAAAAAAAGGCTTTATTTTTAGAAGAGTGCTCAGGGCAGACTTGTAGTCATCCCTATTATTCATAATATTATCACCAATCTAGTACCCAACACAAATTCAAACAATTTGCCAAATAAATAAATTGAAAGATTTTTAAGAAGCAGAAGTGTATCTGTCTGAGGGGAACATGAATACAATAATGTCTGGCTTTTTAGAACTTGGCTGCTCATCCACTTTACCCATTGAAATTTCACTCAACAAGCTCCACATTACAGTGCTCCGAACCCAGACTTCTTTGTATCCTATCTTTACTACTTACTAACTGGGAAATCTTGGGGAAATTACTGTGTTTTTCCAAACTCGCTTTCTCATCTGAAAAGGGAGATGCTCAGGGAGCTGAATTACTTGCCCAAATAGGTTGATACAGAGAACAATAAGAGAATAGTAAACAGCTTCTTGAGTCGTCAAATTGAGATAAGATGATATATACAATAAGCCTAATAAAATGCTGGCCCCTAAATCCTCAATTAATTCATGGTAGCTAGTTCTGATTGCTTGGGTTATGTTCTTATGTACATCTGCCCTCAGCCCCTCTGCCTACCCTGCCCACAGTCACGGGCCTAAAATTGCATGCAAACATTAAAAATTCATTCTTATAACCTAAAGTAAGAGCAGATAACAGAAGAAGAAGAAGAATTATAACAAACCAACAAAAATAATATTAAAGTTTGAGGTCATTTCAAAGCAGAACAAACCAGCCCACATTCTTTAATAGTGGTTTCTAGCAATATTGATATGGCACAGGATATAATGCAAGCTACTAAGGAGGCCACGAGGAAGAGAGAGGACAGTGAATATCACGTACTGGAAAAAGACACATCAATAACAGCTAAAGCTGAAAGACCATGGCGTCTAAATCCTTTTCATGAAGTCTTACTCAAAATATTCACCAAGGGGCCTCAGTTTAATCTACTGATCAAGACTTCTGCCCTGGAATCAGTTTCTTATCCCAGTTCTCACTGGCTGAAGTTTTGGGCAAGTAATTCAACTCCCTGAGCATCAGTTTCCTCAACCAAAAAAATGGGAATAATACTAGTGAGTACATATGGTTGTAGAGATCTCAATGAGAGGTTTGTAAAGCTCTTAGAGCAATGCTTGACAGATAGTAAGCATCCAGTAAATCTTAGTGTTACTCATCCATCCACTCCCTCCTCCACTCTCTCAGCATGTATTTATTGAAAGCTTATCACTGCTACTAGGCACTATATCAAATAACTATGCCCTTACCCAAAGAAGAAATCTGTTACAAGTAGGATGATTCATTGAACAGTTCAAATTCTTTTTTTTTTTTTTTTGATCCTGGAGATCGAGCTCAGGACCTTGTGCTTTCGAGGCAGGCGCAAAACCACTGAGCTAAATCCCCGACCCTCAAATTCATTTCTAAATAGACTCCTATCTATAATTCTATACTGATCATCTTTATCATTTATACAACTAATATTGAGCCAATGAAATGGATAAAATTACTTGAACACTGATTAAACTCAAAGGACAGAATAGTACACACTGGATAGCAGAGCCAGGAACTATATATAAGTTTGTTCACTGCTCACAATGATTCTTTGAAATAGGTACTGCAACCTCCTTTTATGGATTTAAAAAGCAACTGCGGGACATACAGTAAAAGCAATTTCCCCAGGTCACATAGCTACTAGATGCACACTACCACTTAAACCCAGGGGAAAACAGTGTCAGGGTCGCACTCCCAATGGCTCCCTTTTGCTACCAGTTGGATTAATGCTTACTGGAAAATATTGAAGTGACCCCACAAGGCAATTATAACACTAAAGCTCCTTCCTTCTTCCTTCCTTCCCTCTCCCTGCCCAAGTTGGTTCTCTTCTCTCTCCTTCCCAGTGCTCCTTATCACCATGCCCTTCTCAGGGCATCTAAATAGAACACAGGGATATGCATTGAATAGTCATAAATATATTTTAATAATTTTGTTTTCTAATGATGAAAAAAAGTCCCTACTCTGATTTATTTCAGAACTGCAAAGAAAACACTGAGATCAGAATTTTCACTATCAGTCAAGAACTTAAAAATCCTGCATTATTCCCCTCTCACTGAAGGGGAACTCCTCTTGATATGGAAAATTCTACCAAATCAAGTTCAGCTGGATCTCAGCATTTCCAGTTTCAATGAGGATTACTATGAGAACAAGAAATGTTGTATCGCTCAATCAATATTTGTCATCTGTCTTGAAAGTAGTGGCAAACATTATTCCTACCAACCCCAGAGTTATGAGGTCACTATAATATAACAGAGAAAACAAAGTACTCTAAGCAACTGGCTAGATAGTAATTACTTACTTGACAAATATAATCCTAAAATGGAAGTATTCTCTTAGCCATAAAATAGAAATTTCTTATCAACATATCCTTGCTATTAATCCCTGTGTATATGTGCTGCCAAAGCGAGCACAAACCATGTGAAATGAATTCAGGACACCAATATTTTGAATAAGAGCTTTTGCAGTCATGAAGAAATAACTTACTATGTTCAAGTTGAGGACTGTGAAGGACTCAAACACAACCCTGGTTATGCACAATACATAACATCCAAAGTGGAAGTTTTCCCCCTGAGCTCTAAATATGACTTATTTGGCAGGGCAGTTAAAGTCCAGCAAATGAGAGAACAGCTGTATCTCCAGCACACATGGGGAAACAAAATACTGCCAAAAAGAAAAGATCTGCTAAGAGCATGCCAATGGCAAAGTAAGGCTGGAGTTCTGGGCACAAGGGGATATTCGTAAAGCAGAAATACAAACATAACAAGAAAATGAGAAAAAAGTATTTTTTAAAGTCACAGAAAAGATAATGAAAGATATGATTAAAATAAATAGGGAAGTCTTCTCACAGCTCAGCGGCCCTTTTCCTAGACTTTGCTATAAAAGAAACAGCCCAATCCTACAAAATGAGAATTAAGACACCATTGTCAAAGTCTCTGTATTAGTTTCTTATTGCTACTCTAATAGTAGTGGCTCAAATAACGCAAGTGGATTATCTCATAATTCTGGAGGTCAGATGTCTGCAGTGTTGGCCTTGGCAGGGCTGCATTCCTTCTGAGGGTTGTAGCTAGAGAGGAAACTATTTCCGTACATTTCTCCCTGCATTCCTTAGCGCGCAGTCCCTCTCTCCAGCTCCAGAGCACACCACCGCAACCCCTGATTTGACTGTCTCCTTCTCTGACTGCGGCCCTCCTCCCTCCCTCTTTCCTTCGATTAATAATGGGTCCACCAAAAACACCTAACGTAATCTCCCCATCTCAAGACTCTTCACTTGATCACACCCACCAAGTCCCTGTAACCACATATGGTAACACATTTGTAGGCTCTGGAGATGAAGAAACGGCTATCCTTGAGGGTTATTATTCTGCCTGCCGTGCACTCCCAGGAGACTTTCAGCTACTGTTAATCTCTTCATTGGGGAAATTTTGAATACAAGAGTACTTATCTCTAACTATCATTAATAAGAGGTGAAATGCAAAATTTAGAAAACAGTCTTACCAGTTTCCAATGAAACGAGGGTCATTCTGGTCAAGGTGAACAGGATTTCTGGGATCAACATAAAAACCAATAAGAAGTCCACCTAATAAATATCCCACTGCGGGCCCAAGCGCTCCCATGACGTACATGATGGCTGAGAAGACAGAAGGGGAAATGTGAAATACAGCGACACTTCGTGTACGTGCTGGCAGTTGTGCACTCACGGTCACACTGCAGATGTGTCAGAGATGAACCCACTTAATAACTCCCACAACGCCTCTGTTGACACTTGGGTTCCAAATCTTGCCTTTGTCTCACTGTTGCAGGTTGACCTCTTAGAGCACCAGACTCACCTGGAGAGTTTATTGGTTGCTTTTGTTCTGTTTTTTAATATACAGCACTGTCAAGCCTTACCTCAGCACCACGACATTCAAATTTCTAAAAGTAGATACCCAGACTAGCTAATAAAGCAGACAATGAAGAAACAAGAGAAAAAGAAAAAGTCTCAAGAAAAAGAAAAGAAAGAAGGTATTCTTTGCCACCAGTGGAAGATTCTAGCAGGACGAGGGAACTTACAAGGCTGGACAAGGCTGGATTCATTCGAACTGGAGAAGCTGCTCAAAGGCCCTCCGATTGCTAACATCCTTCCAACCACCATTTCTGAATCAGATAAGATCCTGCAATGAATGTTTATTGTTCATCAAGAAATCTTACTTAAAAAGGAATAAATCTCCCTAAATGTCATGGTTAGGAGGTCCAGATGGAAAACACCAACCACAGATGGACCACAAGGTAAATTTTTAATACACATGTCCAAGGAGTCAAGTGAATACATGTCTCATGGTCAGTGAATCAAAAAGGTTGTCATTTATTAAAAAAATATGTTTGCCATCAAAACAGGCTTATAGCAAACAACAATAACAAGGTCACTAACACTGCTTTATGTTTTGCATATTCCTATTTTCACTTCTGTAATTTAAAATTCTAAAATGTCAATTTTAAAATTTTGAGATACGCCAGGGATTTAGCTCCGTGGTTCCGAAGCTTGCCTCACAAGAGCAAGGACCTGAGTTCGATCCCCAGTACCAAAAAAAAACCCTTAGTAAAATTTTGAGATCAGATATAGAATTCCTTGAGAGTCATAGAAAGATCTAACCAAATCCCAAAACCCATTTTTTTTTCCTACTCAAACTCTCAGTTAGGGACAAATCTATAAATACTTTTAGGGTGCTGCTGTATACAAGGGATGATAACAAACTCAGGTGATAACTGCTTCTCATTTCTATTGCCATCATACATTTGTAACCACGGAAGAAGTAAGACAGCTTTGCCATATTCGTTAAATACCACTATATCTACCAGAAAACAAACCAAAATAATCAGAATGGCTTCACCTTACTTTATCATCCATATCTCAATGAACTTTGAATAATCTTGTGCCTCCTGTTACTTATAAACACAGACAACAAGACAGTAATTTCACACCTGCTCTCACTTTTCACACCAGTACAAAAGGGAAAGTGCGGTGTTTAATTTACAGAATGATCTCTTGTAACAATAAGGCCTTCAGTTCTTCAACTTCTCCATCTGGGTTTGGAAATAGAGAAGGAAGGCCAAGCCTCGAGGAACTGATACTGTTAGAAGCATGCTTTACATGAACATAATTAGAATTTCAATAAATATCTTGTTAATCTCTGTTGATAGCCTAGTCTGTAACTCAAGAAGAGAAAGTACTTTTCAGGCACAGGTACAGCATATGCATACGAAGACAGAAATTCATGTGTACACCTCCAGGCAAACCAGCACTATTTACAACTTAAAACTGTAACGAGTCCAGAATGTGACATGAATCATCCTCCAGAAATAGTTAAAGAGGCTGTCTTACAAATGCAGACAGGAAAAGGGTATTTCCACCATCCTGTTTATACCTGGGGCCACTTGAGTGCAAATCTCCAAGAGTCAAGCAGAGCTGGGCAACCTGTGCTCCACAAGACCACGCAATCACCTAGCAAATGGAAAATTCACCAGATAACCTTCACACACACAAAACCTTATAAAATATAGATAAAGCTTTTGGAAAATTCAGCAATGTAATCAGAAACATGTATTTTCATTACATAGCAAGCACTTAAGTCCGACAGAATCGCTCCCACACACATACCTCTTAACCTGGCTCCCTTTAGTAAATAAATCATCCTCTGGGCAGAAGTTAAGCCTCTCTGGCCACTGAGTTAACATTCATTAATTGATTCACTGATGGCACTCATTCAGAGATTCAGGAGCCACAAAGCATTGAAGCAAACTCTTACCACGCACAAACTCTCAGGTGCTCCCCAGACTAGAGGTCTCACTGCTCTTCTTGGAGCTCAAGGTGGGACACACCAGCCTCTTGCTACCACTACAATCTGCAAATTGTGAGATCTCAGGCCTGAATTCGGGGTGAGGGCAGGCCTGGAGCTGAGGCACCTCCATTCCTTTGCTGGCCTTACCACACCCTCTCAGGGCATTTCTACCCATCTGTATCCTAGGCATTCTTCAAGGCCCAACCAAGCCCAGCCTTGACCATCTCCTTCTGGGTGTCTCTCCTTAGAATCCCTGTAGCTACACAGTGTCTATTCCATCAGACTCCATGCTTCATCGTACATCCCTATAGGTAAAAGATTTTAAGTTTTATGCCCACTAGATGCACTTTTCTGTATAAATAAGGTGTGTATGTAGTCTCTCTCACACAGCTCACAGCTAATGCTTCAGGAAATCCTGTTAGATCTACCACCAAATCCTATCCAGCACCCAGCCCCTTCTCTTCACTCTACTGATAACACCCTGGACTGAGTCACCATCATCACTCGTCAGGAATTACTACAGGATTTCCAACCAGCATCCCTGCGGCTGCCCTTACTTCCCTACAATGTATTTTCAGCACAGTAGCTTTAATGACCTTCTAGAAACATGAGCCAGATCACACCCTGCGATGGCTTCCCACTCCATCTCACTCACAATAAAGGCCAAGTCCTTGCAGGCCAAGAGGACCTGCTCACACACACACACCCAGGATTTCTCAACTTCATCTCCTGTCACTCTCCTCCTTCCTTGGGCTCCAGTCTTACTGCCCTCCTTGCTCGTTCATACTCACCTTTCCAGGAAGGTCCTCACCTTAGGCCCTTGCACATGCTCTGTGTGTGTGCCCCATCAAAAGCCTGAAAACATCCTCAAATCTTCCCACCCCTCTCCTGGCTTCAGTGTTCTCCTTACATATCACCACCGAATCTGCTATCTATTTCCTTTCTTCACCATCTTTACCATCTGTTCTCCCCACCTGAACCAGAAGTGCTGAGAACACTTTTGCCCACCGCTCTGTCTCTAGTACCCTGAACAGTGCAGGAGGCACACAGCCCAGATTTACTGAGTACTCAGTACTCTTCCCTCATCCTCCAAAATTCACATGTTGGAAGCCTGGTCTCCAGTGCAGCAGTGTTGAGAGGTAATTGAGTTCTAAGGACTCTGCCCCTCAGAAATGGATTAATCTACTCACGGATTAACCGCCTATCCTGGGAGTGGCTTTGTTGTAAAAGTGAGCTTGTGCCCCTGCCACAATTGCTGTGTCTTGCCCTGTGACACTCTGCCATGTTACAATGCTGCAAGAATGTTCTCATCAGATGCTAACCAGATACCAACCTTGGGCTCCTGGACCTCCCAGTCTCCAGGACATGAGCTAAATAAACCTCTGTTGTTCTTCAGAAATGACCTGGGCTCAGGGGTTTTGTTCTAGCAACAGGGACTGAGCTAAGATGATCCATGAATGTTCTGCTGTCATTACCAACAGTAGATGTCAATGATGAAACTCTTCTTCGGTGTACATCATCTCTTGAGATCTCAGATAATGAGCACAGGCACCAATCCATATTTCACATATTGAAATTAATGGTTTCATGTGTTTTAAGTGTCTCATCAGATCTTGTTATACCATTTTTGATTTTCCTCATGATAAAGTACATACTGCAAGTATGGCCTATTTAATGAGCTATATAATGTAAGTATAAAAAGAAGTTCTGGGCCAGGGATTTAGCTCAGTGGGTTCCTCCACCTGCCCCACCAGCACAAGGATCTGAGTTCGATCTCTAGTAACAACAACAAAAAAAAAGTTCCAATATTCACTCCCTATGGCCCAATTGATCATCTTACATAAGCCTGTGGGTGTGCAGCACTGTCCCCTTTGAGAGGACACTTAATCATGTCATTCATTTGAAATTAAATATACTCTACTTTTTACTTCTGCTTATCAATTCAAATATTTGTATTTTATCAAGTAGCTCTTCACCCTGGACAGCAGGAAGAATGTCATACATGCTACTATCTATGGTTAAGACACAGCCTCCAAAACCATGTGTTCAAATCCCAGCTCCAATTCTTTTTTCTTTTTTTAAATAAATGACTAATTTTTTTTTTTTTTTTTGGTACCGGGGATTGAACTCAGGTCCTTGCACTTGCACAGCTGGCATCAAAACCACTCAGCTAAATCCCCGGCCCCACCAGCTCCAATTCTTACCAATCATTTGGGCATTAACAAGTCATTTAACATCTCTGAGCCTCAGTTCCCTCACCTGTAAAGCAGATATGACAAAAGAACTTGCTCACAGGGTTATCATAGGCACTGAATGAGACATTACTTGCAAAATATGTGGGTTGCCTGAAGCATGGTGCGCATATATATATATATATTTGGGGGGGTGGGGGATCGAACTCAGGACCTTGTGCTTGCCAGGCAGGCACTAAATCTCCGGCCCAAGCCTGGTATGGTTAAGAAAAAGGGCATTATAAGAATAAGCTGTTTAGAGCCAGGGATCTGGGGATCTAGCTCAGTGGTTCCGCCGCCTGACTCACAAGCACAAGGACCAGAGTTCAATCCCCGGTACCAAAAAAAAAAAAAAAAGCTGTTCTTTGTTACTATTTTATGTTACATAATACACAGTTTCATGCTTGGGCCTGGGGAAATTAATAAATGTTTTTGGACTGATCACATATCATTTTGATCAAAAGAATGCCTCTATTCCTTATTTCCTATCCTATGCCTCTGGTTCCTCCTTTGTCTGGATCTGCTCCTTCAACCATGGTAAGACCTACAGCTTTTCCATCAAAGGAATGTCCTATCACTTG